CTATAAATCTAAAAGTGCTCTAAAAAATAAAGTTTGTGCACAGTATGTATGGCTCAGTGACTGAGCATTGACCCATGCACCAAGAAGTCACCGGCTCCATTCTCAGTCAGGTCACATGCCCAGGTTGTGGGCCCAATCCCTAGTGAGGGGCATGCAGGAGGCAGCCAATCGATGTTTCTCTCTTGCATCAATATTTCTATCTCTCTCTCCCTTTTACTCTCTCTTAAAGAAATCAATAAAAACATATTTTTTTAAATAAATAAAGTTTGTTAAAAAGAAAAATAACTAGCCTTGCAAACCAACAGGAAACATACAACCCGTAGTCAAAAGAAAAATCTGGCAATAAAAACATGTGCAGAAATAACAGTGATGGAATTAGCAAAGACATTAAAACAAAGATAATATATATCCTCCATTTGCTTGAGAATATAAAGGAAAACCTGAATATGGTGAGGAGAGAAATGATTTTTAGATAGAGTGGAAGGGAGGGAGGGAGGGAGAGAGAAACATCGATGTGAGAGGAACATTGGTTGGTTGCCTCCTGCACGACCCTGACCTGGGCTGGGAATTGAACCTGCAACCCAGGTATATGCCCTTGACCAGAAATAGAACCTGAGACCCTTTGGTCCTCAGGCCAGTGCTCTATCTGCTGAGCCAAACCAACCAGGGCAAAAGGCTGTTATTTGAAGATAGATAGTATGAGATAAGTTGAAGATGCATATTGTGAAATTCTAAAGCAACCAAAAATATTTTAAATAAAATAAAAAAGTACAGATTATAAACCATTAGTGAAGATGAAAGGGAAAACTGGAAGGCAGTCAATCCAAAAGAAGGTAGCTATAGAGGAAAAAAAGGAACAAAGCAGATGGTATGAATATAAACTATCATATCGACTATCATTAATATCAATGATTAATACACTTCAATTAAAAAACAGAGATTGTCAAATTGGATTAAAAATAAGTCTTAACTACATGCTAGCTACATAAAACACAAGATAAGAAAACAAAAATAAGTTAAAAATAAAATGATGAGAAAAGATATACATACTAGACAAAATAGAATTCAGAAAAAGGAATATTAGCAGGGATGCAGAGGAATATTTCGTAATTTTAATGAGACTGATTCATCAAGAGTTTATAACAATCCTAAATGAGTATTTACCTAATAACAGCGCTTCAAAATACGTGAAGGAAAACGAATGAATTGAAAGAAGGAATCACATTACTTAATTTGAAGATTTACCATCAAGCTGCAGTAATAAAGACTTGTGTTTTTGGTATAAGAATAGACAGTACAGATGGATGAAACAAAATTGAAAGGCTGTAGTAGACTTACAGTTGATTTTTGACACAGGTGCCAAAGTATTTCAGTAATATAAGAGTAGTCTTTTATTATTTATTTATTTATTTATTTATTTATTTATTTTTATCCTCACCGAAGGACATTTTTTGTTCAGATAGAGCGGGAGGGAGAGAGAGGAAGAGAGAGAGAGAGAGAGAAACATCAATGTGAAAGGGACACATCGAGTGGCTGCCACCTGCACGAAGCAACCAGGGCCGGGGGCAAACTGCAACCGAGGTACGTGCCCTTAGCGGGAACCGAACCCAGCTCTCTCTGGACCACAGGCCGATGCTCTAACCGCTGAGCCAAACTGGCCAGGGCAAGAGCAGTCTTTTAAACAAATAATGTAGGAACAATTGGATATTCATGTAGAAAAAAAAATAACCTTACTTTACACTATGTACAAGAATTAACTCTAAGTGGATTGTAGACTTAAAATAAGAGCTAAAATGATAAAACTTCTGCAGCAAACTATGGGAAAAAAATCTGTAGCCTTGGATTAGGGAAGGATTTTTTAGGACACGAAGAGAATAAGACATTTTAAAAATTGGTAAGTTGGATTTCATAAAAATTTAAAACTTTTGTTCTTTTTAAAAATATTTTTGTATTGATATTTTAGAGAAAGAGGAAGGGAGAGAGAGAGAGAAATATCGATGTGAGAGAAAAACATGGATTGGCTGCCTCCTGCACGCCCCCTACTGGGGATTGAGCCTGCAAGTGGGCATGTGCCCTAATGGGAAATTGCCCTAACTGGGAATGGAACCAGGACCTCTCAGTCCCGGGGAGGACACTCAATCTACTGAGCCACATCGGCCAGGCAAAAAACTTTTGTTCTTTGACAGAACTTGTTAAGAAAATAAAATGTCAAGCTACAGAAAGCAAATATTTGAAAAATATATGTCTGATAAAGAGATTGTGTTCTTTAAAACTCTAATAAAAATATGAACAAAAGCCCTGGCCAGTTTGGCTCAGCGGTTAGAGCGTCGGCCTGTGGTCTGGAGAGACCCGGGTTCGGTTCCCGCTAAGGGCACGTACCTCGGTTGCAGTTTGTCCCTGGCCCTGGTTGGTTGTGTGGGTGGCAGCCACTCGATGTGTCCCTTCACGTCGATGTTTCTCTCTCTCTCTCCCTCCCACTCTACCTGTACAAAAAATGGAAAAATATCCTCGGGTGAGGATAAAAATATATATATATATGAACAAAAGGTTGAACATAATTAAAAATATATGAATGGCAAAGAAGCACGTAAAAAGATGCTCAGCATTAGTCATTAGGAAATGCAAATTTAAAACCTCAGTGTGATATTACTGTACATCTAATGGTTAAAATTTTAACCATTTAATATCATGTTTTAATTTAATTAATATCATGTTTAATTTTAATTAATATCATGTTTAATTTAATATCATGTTTTGGCAAGGATGTGGAGAAACTGGGGGATTCTTATCCATTGCAGATGGGAATGTAAAATGGTATCACTACTGTAGAAAAAAATGTGATAGTTTCTTATAAAGTTAAGCATACACACTGCAGCGATCCCACCTCTGGGTGTTTGCCCCAAAGAAGTTAAAACACAAAGATTTGTAAACAGGTGTTTAGGCAAGCTTATTCATAATAGCCATAAACTATTAAGTACCCAAATGAATAAGCAAATTGTGATGTAGCCGCTGCTTCTTCTTCTTCTTCTTCTTCTTCTTCTTCTTCTTCTTCTTCTTCTTCTTCTTCTTCTTCTTCTTGGTACGTGCCCCTAGCAGGAACCGAACCCAGGACTCTCTGTTCCGCAGGCCAACACTCTAACTGCTGAGCCAAACCAGCCAGGGCAGTGTGATGTATCCTTAAAACATGATTATTAATACATTCAACAACATAGGTGAATCTCAGGAAATATTGTGCTACATGAAAAAAGTCAGACACGAAAGACTATAGAGTATATGATTCCACTTATATGAGATTTTAGAAAAGACACAAGTGGAATAGAGCAGATTTAGTGAATGTCAGGTGCTGGGATAGAAGGGAGGGATTGACTCCAAAGGGATATGCAGGTACTTTTTAGGATGATAGAAATTTTTTATTTCTTGATTTTGGAGATGTTTACATAAGTATATACATTTGTCAAAACTCATCAAATTGTACACTTTAAAATGGTGAGTTTAGCCTGACCTTGTGGCTCAGTGGTTGAGCATCAACCTATGTACCAAGAGGTTGCCAGTTGCACATGCCCAGGTTGTGGGCCAAATCCTCAGTGGGGGGCATGCAGGAGGTGGCCAATCCATGTTCTCTCTTGTCTATATTTTTATCTATCTCTTCCTCTCCCTTCCTCTCTCTTTCAAATCAAGAAGGAAAAAAATTAAAATAAATAAATAAAATGGTAAGTTTATATCTATGAGGTTTTTTGTTTCTTAATCGCTTTTTCATCTAGTTCCCCAACACCCTCCCCTCTGACAGCTGTCAATCTGTTCTCTGTATCTATGAATCTGTTTCTATTTTGTTGGTTTATTTTTTTTCATTAGATTCCACATATAAATGAGATCATGTGATATTTATCTTTCTCTGCCTGGCTTATTTCACTTAGCATTATACTCTTCAGGTCCATCCATGCTGTTGCAAAGGTAAGGTTTCCTTCCTTTTTACAGCGAGTAGTATTCCATAATGTAAATGTAGCATAGCTTTTGTATCCATTCATCTATTGATGGGCATAAATACAGATATAGTGATTACCAGAGGGAAATGGGGGTGGGGGAAGGTAGAAGACAGTAAAGGGGGGATAAATGGTGACAGAAGGAGATTTGACTTTGAGTGGTGAGCACAATATAATATATTATAGAATTGTACACTTGAAACTTGTATAATTTTATTAACCAATGTCACCGCAATAAATTCAATAAAATGTTTTTTAATGATGAGTTTATTCTATGTTAATTATATCTCAGTAAAGCTGATTTTTATGTGAGATACCTGGAAAAAAATTTCTAACAGGGATAGAGTTGTGACTTCCATTAAGTCAGTAACTACTAGTAATAATGAGTCTATATGAATTCTATAAAAAAACTTTATTTAGAACTTTTTAGTTCTATAAAGATTTGTATTTAGAACTTTATGTTCTTGAAATGCTATTTGTGTTCTTTTGTCCTGCTCAATTCTTTGGTATCTGCAGGATGACAAAAACTTAGTGTTCATGTTAGGCACACCTATTGGAATTAGTGGTTTTCTTTTGAAGCACTGAAGCTCTCTAAACAATCTCCTAAGATATTATACTCTATATTATGAACATCAAACAAAATAGGATTTATAAAGACCCTATGACTTAAAGAGTATGTACAATAAATTCCTCCTTCAGGACAGAAAATTTCCAGGGATTTATATAACTGATTTAACAAAACAGGATAAAATATTTGTTTGTCACATTTGATAAAACAATTAAGCAAAATCATAGGCTGAGAGGTAATTCTGACATTTGACTCTATTTACTAGTAAAAAACATAAATTTTTAGGTCATGATACCAGAAGAAATTCAGTCATACCAACTAGCCTTCTTTTGCTAAACTCTACCCTTCCCCCTGTCTCAGACTCTAAATTACTCATTAGGACTACAGAAGAGGGCTCACAGATGAAACATACATTAGGAGCCCAGGAACCAATAGCTATTACCCACTGATACCTGGAGAGAGAATAGACTGCATTTCCCTCCACATCATGTACTGGATGGGACCGTTGTACAGGCCTGGGTTCAGCTTTCTGGAAATAAGTTCTCTGGGTGTCAGCACCCTTATTCCTTGCTCCAAGCTGCAAGGGACATAAATCATTCTTAGACATCCTCCAGGACTGAAGATAGGGTACTAATACCATAAGGAAACACCACTTACCTCTGCAAGAAAGGTGTGATGTCCTAGAAGAGGAAAGGAGAAACAGAAAAGTTAGATGCTTGTTTAACAACTGCAGAAATTTCTTTGGTGATACCGGCCACTCTCAGAATTTGGTTGTCAATACTGGGCTCCTGTGCACATGATCCCCATTCCATCACCACCTCTCATTCTCCATATGTCTTTTCTGATCTGTATCCCTCATCTAACCCAAGATAAAACTGGCCTTATATTGCTCTGATTTTCTAGTTCTCTTTTACATGGAACAAAAGAGAAGGTAAGGTTAAGCTATATGTACCTGTCTGCCACATAGTCTCAGGAGAAAAACAAAGGTATTTCCACCCCAAGCCCACTTTTTCTTACTCTGGCTAAGCTGCAGAGTGCTGAGGTGCTAACCAATGCCACTTTAGAAGTGAACCTTCGGTTAGCAAAGATTGGCAAATAGCTTTTCAAACAGGTCAATTTATGACTGCTGAGAGCCAAAGATGCAGCTTAGGTTGCAACATTTTTTGAGCGATAAAACGTCAAAGTTCTTTATGGAGAAATATTAATATATACTGTTATTAATGGCATTTTATTATGTTCTTTTCTAGGAAGGTGAAAGTAAAGCTTTTTATTGAGTGTAAGGCAAAAGTAGCCTCCTGCTTTTCTCCCAGAGAATCTTTTTTTAATTGTTGATAGTATTGCAGTATTTCTACACCCTCCTTTGCCCCCCTCAACCCAGCCCCCAGCAGGGCTTTTTCCCTCTCCTTGTGAGGAAAAGCTTCTTCTACATCCTTTCTGACCCTCTTTCCCCATAGTCATGTTGATATGGAGTCTTACTTTGAGAAACTCGAAGGAGTTTTGTTCTTCCACCCGCGTCTGGATGCTCTTCAACATCTCGTTGACTAGGAGACACTGTTCCTGAAGCTGGTTCAGATTCATCTTCATCTCCTCATTCAAGGCTTTCCCCTCTTCCTGGAGCTCATTTAAAATGTTCTTTTCTTTGTCTTGCAGAAACTGATACAGCTTTAGAAACTCCAAGGAGATGTGTTGTTGCAGATATCGCTTGTTTTCCTGGAAATCTCCATGATCACTACCATGGTAATTACTGAGACTAGCACTTGGGGATGGGGGCCCACACCACCAATACTCACACAACTTGGAAAACACCATAACAGGAAAATGTATTTAAATGGCTGCTGAGTATCAACATTCAACAATACTAAAAGGAGCCCTTGTGGCAGACAAGGAGACTTATTCTGTCTTTCTTAGCTAGTTTAACAGTTTAGGATGAAATAGTCCAAAGTGACCTTCACGTTCCTATTGCAGTACTGAGGTGGTAACCAATGCCATATTAAATAAGACTGTGGGGTTAATAAAACATTCTGGAATGAATGGCAATACTTTCCTACCCAGAAGTGTAAGCCAATATCTACCAAGTGATGCTGTTAGACTGGGGCCATTAGGCAGTGGAAAGAAATGTCCTTATCAAGAAATCAGAACATCAGAACTAGGGGGATGCCACTTCTGCTGCCAGGACAATATAAAAGAAGAGATGGAAGCCCCAACCAGTGTGGCTCAAGTTGGTTGGGTGTCCTCCCATGCACCTAAAGGTTGCTGGTTAGATTCCCAGTAAGGGCACATGCTGGGGTTGCAGGGTCAATCACTGGTGGGGGTGGGGGTGTGCAGGAGGCAGCCAATCAATGTTCTGCTCTCACAGTGATGTTTCTCTCTCTCTCTCTCTCTCTCTCTCTCTCTCTCTCTCTCTCCCCCCGCCTCTGCCTCTCTCTCTCTCTCTCTTTCTCCCCTTCTTCTCTTTCTCTAAAAAGTCAATTAAAATATTTTTTAAAAAGATGGGAAATGTTTGAAGCACTGAAATTGATAACTGATACACACTTGCAGTTCTTAGGTGACCTCAACATCCTCATGGGTGAGCCATCTGATATCCTGGCTTCTTGGTTCCTTATTCTCATTTCTAGTGATTTCCACCTGTATTTACTCATTCTCTTAGTTAGTCTGAGGATTTTATCATCCCCAGCAATTTCACCATCTCCAAAATTAACTTTTTATACTCACTTTCTCAGGTACCCCTATTGTAATTATTAGGTCTCATTGAAACCTGTATATTGACCCCTTCATTTCCTTTTTTTTTTTTTTTTTTTGGTACATGCCCCTAGCAGGAACTGAACCTGGGACTCTCTGGTCCGCAGGCCGATGCTCCAACCACTGAGCCAAATTGGCCAGGGCGACCCCTTCATTTCTGTTCCTTCAGCTTCTTCTGTCTTTATGTCCTCTCTTATCCAGCATGGATTCTGTGGTCCATCATTATAATTACACTCTTGAAGAAGTCTTAACTCTCTCTTTCCTCTAGCTCACACTTTTCCAGTTTTCCTTTTACCTATCTCATCACTATATGTGTCTTATTTGTTGGTTCTGTCTTGAGCTCTTTTCCCTTCTCATTCTACACTCTCTTTCTAGGTACTATCCTCTCCTTCCACAGCTTTAAATGCCATCAATATGCTAACTTCTTATTTCTAGCCTAATCCAGTTTCTAAGCTCCAGATTCCTGCATCCAATTGACATCTACACTCACCCTTAACATCTAATGAATCACCCAATCCAGATTATTTTTTATCTCCAAAGCGTATGCTGAAGCTATTTATTTCTTTTCATCTCTACTGACTCTCTAGACCAAGCCACCTTCATCATTCTCTGGGTTCACTGCAGTAGCCTTCTAACCATTATCCTTGTCACTGTCTTTCTTAATTCATTCTCCGCACAACCGCCAGACTGAAATTTGCAAAATGAGATAATGCCATATCTTGTTTAAACTTTTTAATGACTTCTCATTATTCTTAGGATGAAGTTCAAAATTTCTAACATTATCTACAAGGGTCTAAATGTTTGGGCCCATATCTGCCTCTTCAGTCTCATCTTGCCTACCAGAATCCAGTTTTATTGGCTTTCTCTCTGTTTAATATAGCAACTGACTTCCTCTCTCAGGACTTTTCCATATGCTCTTTACTCTTTATAGAACATTCTTTAGAACACTTCCTTCATATTCCCCTCACCCTGTTCACTTAGATATGTTACTTATCCTTCAATTCTCAATTATTAATAAGTGACTTCAGAGAACAGCCCTCCCCAAGTCTAGATTAGGTTCTCCATTTGTATGCTCTCATAGCACCCTGTATTTTTATTTATAGTAATTAACACAGTTGTTATTTTATTGTCATTGGTGGGATTATTTAACATCTGTCTCCCAGCCTAGTGAAATATAGTGTCTCGTACAATGCCTGACCCACTCAATAAATATTTTTGAATGAATGAATGAATGTTAACTGTAATAGCTGAACTATGAATAGGAACTCTTACAACAGGAATAAGATTCTTTGGAGATTTCATTATTTCTTTTTTTATCCTCACTCAAGGACATTTTTTTATTTTTATTTTTTGCATTTATCTTCAGATAGAGGGGGAGGGAGGGAGGAAGGGAGGAAGAGCGAGAGAGAAACATCAATGTGAGAGAGACACATCGAGTGGCTGCCACCCACACGACCCCAACCAGGGCCAGGGACAAACTGCAACCGAGGTACGTGCCCTTAGTGGGAACCAAACTTGGGACTCTATGGTCCATGGGCCGATGCTCTAAGCACTGAGAAAACCAGCCAGGGCTGGAGATGTCATTATTTCTATCTATCCTTCTTTCTTCTCTCATTGTACATATTATTTCTTCCAGATGTAAAATGCCAGAGAATACTCTCCTCCATAGAATAATTAATAAAGAAATAGAACTCCTGCCCTGGCCAGTTTGGCTCAGCGGTTAGAGCGTCAGCCTGTGGTCCAGAGAGACCTGGGTGCGGTTCTCGCTAAGGGCATGTACCTTGGTTGCAGTTTGTCCTTGGCCCCGGTTGGGGTTGTGCGGGAGAGAGCCACTTGATGTGTCCCTTTCACTTCGATGTTTCTCTCTCTTTCTTCCTCTCTCTCCCTCCCACTCTACCTGAACAAAAATGGAAAAATGTCCTTGGGTGAGGATAAAAAAAAAAAAAAGAAATAGAATTCCCAGTTTAGCTCCCCAACCTAGGGACTGATTTTCCAAGTCTCTAACCATTAACCTTGTCCTGTAAAGTTGAAAGTATAAGCAATAACATTCATTAGGGGGAAACTAAAAAAGATCAAATCAGATGTTAAAAGCCAACAAACTGAAAGATCTTGTAGAGGTAGACTGATTGTAAACCCAAAAAAAAGAAAGGTATTTCAATGGCCATAACTATCTTTAGTGGATTTGCCATAAATAAATTTCTTGCTTTGCCATAAATAAGAGGAAAGACCAAACAAATCACAACCCCACAATAATCACCTAGCAACTGACACATCAAAAGGACCAGCATATTAGGGGAAAGGCCAGTCTGCTTTCTCTGTTGATTAACTATTGGGAACTTACTCTACTGCTATATCCCTTTCCACCCTACTGTGTCCATTTTTTAATTCCATAACCCAGGTGTCAGTTAGTATATTGATAATACATGTATAGGTACCTTTCCACCCATATCACTAAAATTATAAGAAGGGTATATTCTAGTTCTCATAACCCCCTACCCTGCTCCTCACCTTAAAAGTGACAATAGCATCTTTCTGCATGTTCCTCAGGGACTGAAGTTCCTTCATGGCTGTCTCCAGTTGACCCTTAACACTGATAAACTTCTCCTGAGAATACCACATAGAATTAATCCACACTGACTGGGAGATGAAGGGCCATAAGAGACTTCTCTCCCAAAGCCCCCATATGTCAGAAAAAAAGCCAGCTCTTGCTGCAAAAATCTTTCCTTTTCCCTGCATCATAGTTCCTGTCTTTTCTAAGAATTGTGAAGGAAATTATAAGCAGCAGACAAACTTAGGTTTTGTTTTTGTTTTTGTTTTTGACCTTCTTAGTTAACTACAGGGATTTGAGGAAGGTAATGGAACTCTATACATAATTTTCTACTCTAGTTACACTGTTCTAACTATACCTTTACTTACATTGTTCTCACTTAGAACACTTATTTCTTCCTTCTGCCCATCCAAATCCAAATAATTTCCCCATTCAAACTTTTACCATACATTTCTTGAATAATTCAGTTTTTTCTCGTCTTTTCTGAAATTCTAAATATTTATGAATTACTACTGTGATAAAATTTAGCTCTCAATAGTAAACTATCTTATATCACTTTTGTTGTTTTATTTATTTTGATTAAATTTCAGGATTATAACAAGAGTGATATTGTATATGTTCGTATTCTACATGGGGTAGAATATGAGCACAGTCATGGCAAAGTTTAGGTAAGTATTTGATTAATTGAAGTGTATGCCACAGCTCCTCCTTTCCTCTATCAGCACCTCTAAAGAAAGAACATTGCAAGACACATTGTATTTTCTGAACGTTGTGAGCTTTCTAGTAATCATCTGAATAAAGGGGTGGAATTGGAAGAGAGAGAAGAAACATTACAAAATATTTTTTCCCCAGCTTTCCTAAGGGATTGTTCAAGGCCCAGGGCTCACCCACCGTGAAGAAATGGACAGCATCAGGGATCTGCAAGAACTCTTGAGACTGCCCTACAGACAACCGAGCATCTTTGCACTGAAAGCAGATCAGCTTCCCTTCTGGCTTACTGAACAGTTTCAGGTTCTCTCCATGTTCTAGGCACTGTGGATGGCCCTTCAGGAGGGATAGCGCCTTTATCTTCTCTACCAGCTTCTCCAGTACAATGTTGCATACACAGTTGTTATACTGACATATCATCTTACACTCAGGGCAGAATGTCTCCTTTGCTTGCTGCTGCCAAAAGTTTTGAATACAGGCCTGGCAGAAGTTGTGGCCACAGGTTAGCATCAGTGGATCCTGAAACCAATCATTACACAATAGACAGTGTAGATCCTTAGTAATATCTTGTATCTGAACTTCAGAGGGTATCTGGGTGATCAAATCATTTACTTCAATGTAGTTGTCTGGGTCAGTGTTGGAGGAGGATTTGGAAGATACCTTTGAAAAAGAACAGTTAAAATGAATTCTCTTTCTAGCTGTCTACTCCAGGATAGTGGGCTCCATTCCTAAAGAAGCTGAGAATTGGTACAGCCAAAGTAAAAGCACAATAATCTCTTCTTTGTAAGTGATCCAGTAAATTTAGTGTTTTGTAACATCATCATTTATTATTGCTTTTAGCCCTGGCTGGTTTTGCTCAGCGGTTAGAGCGCCAGCCTGCGGACCAGAAAGTCCTGGATTCATTTCCTGCTAAGGGCACGTACCTCAGTTGCAGTTTGTCCCCATCCCCATTTGGGGTCGTGTGGGTGGCAACCGGTTGGTGTGTCTCTCTCATATTGAAGTTTCTCTCTCTCTCTCTTCCTCCCTCCCTCCCTCCTACTCTATCTGAAGATAAATGCAAAAATGTCCTTGGATGAGGAGATATATATACATATATATATATATATATATATATATATATATATATATGATTACTTTCAACACTATTTAAACTTTTATAGAGAACCGAGAGAGAAAAAAGAATATATTTTGTTATACATCCTTCCCTCCACTCACTTTCCCCATGTATCAGTTGAAAGTTTTACCTTCAACTTCGGTTCTCCTAGTTATTACCTTTTTTGTTTTTGTGTTCTAGAAGGCATGTACAAAGAATTGGAAGATTGATCAGATTCCTTAGTCAGTGGCTTAATATCACCCAGGCCTTCCACCCTCTTTTAAAAATTACACAAATAATATATATACAGAAAAATGCAGAATCTTAATTGTTCAGTTCGATGACTTCCAACACTAAACACTAGTTTTGCCTGTTTTTTAATTTCATGTAAATGCAACCATGTAATATGTACTCTTTTGTTGCTGGCTTCTTTTGTCAACCTTACATTTGTGAGATTTATCTATATTGTTCTATCTATACCCATTTTTCTTGGGTATATACCTGGGAATGGGTCATAGGATTGGCATATAGTAGCTATTGCCAAGCTTAGTAGATATTGCCAAACTTTTTCTAAGTGATTGTATCAATTTACACTGCCACCAGGGTTGTCCCATATCTTTGTCAACAGTTAGTATAAGTAAAATCATTTTAGCCATTCTGGTTAAAATGCTATAGTATTTAGATATGCTGTAGTATTGCATTGTGGCTGTAATCTGCATTTGCCTGATGACTGTGAATATCGGGACCATTTTCAGATGTTAATTGTTCATTTGCATTTCCCTATTTGTGAAGTGCCCATACAAAGCACATATTTTATTGTTGATTTGTCTTTTTATTTATTCACTATAGTTCTTCACATATTCTTGATATAAGTTATTAGATACACATTTTCCAAGCATCTATTTCAACTATGTGGATTGCCTTTTCACTTACTTAGTGATATCTTTTAAAGAACAAAAGTTTTAAAATTATTTTTAAACTTTTTTATTTTTAAGCATAACACAAATACAGAAGGCAGCATGGGGGCGGGGAGATACAGCATGTTGAATTGTTAATAGACAAATAGTGATAAAAGGAGATAGAACCTTGCTAACTGCTCCATAAATCTTCCATATACTCCCCGCTACCTAAATGCCCCTCCCCCTATTTCTGAGACAATCACTATCCTTAATTTTGTGTTAATCATTTCTTTCCTACTTACCTGTTTTGATGTTTATATAAACAAAATTAATGTTTTGTGTATTTATGTCTTGCTTTATTTACTCAGCATGCCATTTTTTTTACTTTTGAATACAACAGTCATATTTACGTCATCATGGTAAATAGCATAGTGCAGGGCTAGAAACTGTTAACCAGCTCCCAGGGTAATGTTTATATTAACCTTCTTCTACCATCCACCTTTGCTTCTCAGGTAAAAGTAGAGCTCATTACACATCAGTGACATGAATTATTATTTTTGTATGTGGGAGTGACATGCTATAACTATGCCTTCAGTAGATTTATCAGCATGACTTTATATATATATATATACATATACATGTATATATATATATTTTTTTTTAATCCTCAAGGATTTTTTTTCTATTTATCTTCAGATAGAGTGGGAAGGAGGGAGGGAGAGAGAAACATTGAGGTGAGACAGACACATCAACTGGTTGTCTCCCGAATGACCTGACCAGGGCCAGGGATGAACTGCAACTAAGATACATGCCCTTAGCGGAAACTGAACCCAGGTCTCTCTGGGTTGCAGGCCGATGCTCTAGCCACTGAGCCAAACCGGCCAGTGAATTTTACACTTTAAAACAGTTAATTTTATGTTATGTAAATTTTACCTCAGTAAGAAATTGAAGCCATATCTGACTCCAGCACCAGAATTTGTATATTCAACAGTATTCTGCTTTGAAGAAGGCTGTATTATAGCTACTATTTGATGGGTAGCCACCAGAAATGGCTTGGATCTCATTGACTAAGAGTCTGATAAAGTAAATATTCAATAATGCCAGCTCTGTTCTAATGCCCATACTTGTTGGGGCATAGCAATTAATAAGGTAGAGCTGCTCACATATGGATCTCCACTAATATTTGTGGGTCAGCACAAAGTATAGCTAGAAGCCCCTGGCTCACTCTTCTTCTTTTCCTCTCTCAAACCCCTTAAACTATCCCATACCTCATAAGCATGCTTATGGAAAACCCAGCCCAAACAACCAAGCTACACACACACACACACACACACACAGGCACACACACTTGTTCTTTGGGCATGCAACTGCTTAGAGGAGTGTTGGAGGTCCTGCAGTTGGCTCCGAATCTTTTGGGAAGAGAATTTTAGAGTCCAGGATATGTGGCATGTGATTTAAAGTCAGAGACAGCATAGGCCGCTTGGTCTTCTGGACTCCTTGTCTTGTAAACAGGAACATAGCTGGAGGAGGGTCAGAGTAGGAGCCTCAAAGCATGGGGCCAAGTCAGGGCCCCCTATTGCCCAAGTCTGGGGGTGGTAATGCCCTCCTGTTCCATTTCACTCACCCTTATTCTACCTTATCAGCCTTGGGTTAGGCCTGTCTCCACAGTTGGCCCTCGCTTATCGTGGTTAATCAGTCCCAGACTCTACCGCAATAAATGAATTTTCCTGAAGTAGGATTCTTTATTTATATATAGTTGTCCCTCACCACTTTGCACTTCGACTTTCCCAGCTTCACTCTATTGCGGTTTTTTCAAATATAGAAGCCAAAGTGGTGAGGGACAACTGAACTCTGGAATCAGCAAGGAGAGGCTGGCCTGGGAGAAAGTCTGAGGTTTCTTCTGACACCTTTACCAGAACTAAATTTCTGGAGTCTTAGGGGCCCCGTGGGGCTTGTCTGATTTAGCTCTGTGGAGGAGCTTGTCGTCACCATTGATTGCTCAGATTCCAGGATTCTGAGCTCTTCTTTCTACAAAGTTTTCTGCCAGAATTGCTGAAATGACCTTGCCCACCCCAGATTTTGAAATGCCAGCATCCATTGCTCCCAGCATATACCATATCCAGCTCTGTGTGTTCTTACCTTCTCTTAAATGCTAAAGCTAAAAGACTGTGATTCAGGAGTATAAAAATGGGAACTGAGATGAGATCACCTCAAAGTAGGAGGACAATTTATATCATGGAGATAAGTATGTTTTAGGAAAGCATAATAGATGGGTCCCTGACTTTCACTAGGGAGTGTTGTCAAGAGAAACATCTAGGATGCCTAAGATGGGACTTGCCTCCTGAATGACCTGACCAGGACCAAGGACAAACTGCAACTAAGATACATGCCCTTAGCGGGAACTGAACCCAGGTCTCTCTGGGTCGCAGGCCAATGCTCTAACCACTGAGCCAAACACGTTTGGCTCAGCGGTTAGAGTGTCAGCCCACTGGCCATTGAGTCGAGGGTTCAATTCCAGTCAAGGGCACATACCTTGATTGCAGTTCGTCCCTGGCCCTGGTTGGGTTGTGTGGGAGGTGACTAGTCCATGTGTCCCTCTCACATCAATGTTTCTCTCTCTCTCTCTCCTTCTCCCTCCCACTCTATCTGAAGATAAGTGGAAAAATGTCCTCAGGTGAGGATTTAAAAAAAAAAACAAATCTTAGGCAAGAAACGTGACAAAGATTATTATGTGAGAAAAAATGTTAAATGTGCATATGCTATTTTCAATTAAAAACAAATTTTTTTTCTTTACGGGTTTTTTAGAGAGAGGAGAAGGGAGAGGAGAGAGAGATAGAAACATCGGTGAGAACATAGATTGGCCGCCTCCTGCATGTCCCCACTGGGAACTTGGCCCACAACCTGGGCATGTGCCCTAACTGGGAATCGAACTGGCAGCCTCTTGGTGCATGGGTTGATGCTCAATCACTGAGCCACACCAGCCGAGAAATTTTCAGTTTTTTTTATTCACTAGCTTTCAATTTGTATGCCATGTACTCTGAAGGATAAAAAACTTCAATGTAGACAGAAAACTTACTCTGAGGCAGAATCCCTGAGGATTGGTCCATGGGTTACTCTCATGCTCTTGAAAGGGAAAGTAGAATTCAAAATTTGCTCTGACACTCAAGTTAGTGGTAGAATCAAGAGAATCCAAATGATGTTAACCCTAAGACCATAGCTCTCTCCATGTGCTGTACGTGTCCTTGAGAATTTGAGTGTTCAGAACTGCTTTATTTCTCACTCCTAACCCTCTATTCCCAGTTAGAAGTTTGTATTTGCCTCTATTCATGGGCTTAGTTCCATTCATATTAAGATCTATTCTAGCTAGGGGAGCATTGCTAAAATTATTTGCCTTATTATCAAATTCCATTCTCACTGATGACTATTTCTGTTGCTCTCTTCCCATACCTAGGTTTTCACCTCTTTCCAGTCTCTATTTCTGAAACTCCTACCAGACAACCATCAGAACTTCTCATTCTAGTCTTCATTCCTCATAATTTCCTCTTCATATTTTCTAATTCCATACCTCTCTGTGTTTTGTTCTGGATATTTTCTCCCCTTTTTATTTTATAGATGCTATTTATATTTTGTTTCTTTCAACATCTTTGAGAGAGGTGAGTTCCTACTGA